CTAATCACCATCATAATTATAATAATAAGCAATTTCAAAGTCTCCTCTATTTCAAATATGATTTGGTGTCTTTTCTTAACGTTATACATCAAAGTATATAATGGATCAGTATCATAATTTTTTGAAATGTAGGTTAAAACACGTTACTTCCCTATTATTTTCCTATTTGAAATTTTTATCACTGAAACTTTCCTCCATTCCCAACATACCTGTCCCTTGGGGTTCAGATAATCTGAGGACAGACCATCACACACCTAGTAAATGCTTAACATGCTGAGGCCGTCACGCCTTGAAACTCTTTATTATGTTGGTACTCTAGTCAGGAAATTCTGAATAATGAACCCCTACTTTGTTAAACAGCATAGGAACTTTAAAGGATTTAATCAACCCTTCTCTGGGAATTGTCACCAAGCAGTCACACAAGGACTTCAAAAATGCATACGAATTTCCCCCCCTAATCTTTAGATTTAATTAAGGTAAATGTCTACCATTGTCGAAATCAACCAGTTTTGTTTTTTTTTTTTTAAATCAGTTGTTCCTTTCTGCTCATAAAGAATGCTGGGAAATAGTCACATAAGGGTCATGATTTATGCTCTAGGTTAAAACTACACAATTACATTAAAGGTCTCTGCTTGCCATCTGCCCTACACATTGACATACAAATTTTCTGGAATTGCTTTTACCATGTCACCTGCTTATTCCAGGACAGAAAAGGAATCCTGGCTTTCAATAGCAATAAAACTCCTATCTAGCTATTTAGATCCCCTTCTCTGGCCGCTCACACATCCCACCCGGCCCCATCTCCTTGCCTTCGCTAATTTTATCCCTTTTTCCGCCCCCTACCTCTGGTCAACAAGGAATGAACCCCTGCTAGCTGGCTGGAACCCTATGCCCCAGAAGGCTAGGGCGTCCTGCACGGTCTGGTCCATGCGAGAATTTTACCTTCTGAGAAATATGGTCCCTCTGGTCACAGCCACAAACTGAGCATTTAATTGCTAATACAAAACAAAACTCATGCTAAGTTTCTTTTTCAAACCTTCAATGAGCTTTCCAAAGCATACAGTTCTGGTTACACATTTTTGTCTCCCTCCACGCGACGAAATCGACAAGGTGCTTGCGATGTTCTTTTTAAAATTTTTAGCATTTTCTTTTTAACTGTGGTAAAACACACACAACATAAAGTTTGTCATCCTAATCAATTTATTTTGTTATTCATTCTTGGGGGACAAAGAGAGAGCAGAGGAAGAGCAGAGAGAGAGACAGACAGACAGACAGAATCAGAAGCAGGCTCCAGGCTCTGAGCTGTCAGCACAGAGCCCGACACAGGGCTCGAACTTGTGAACTGCAAGATCATGCCCTGAGCCGAAGTAAGAGATTTAACCGACTGAGTCACCCAGGTGCCCCACATTTGACTCTTGATTTCTGCTCTGGTCATGACCTCACAGTCCTGAGATCAAGCCCTGCGTCAGGCTCCCCACTGGGCAAGGAGCCTGCTTGTTTCTCTCTCTCCCTCTGCCCCTCCCTTGCTGGTCTGAGGAGGGCAGTGACATTTGTTTACTTGCTGCCACCACTTCTGAGAGCCTGTGTCGCAGAAACTGCGCCAGCCACTGGATGTTCAGAAAGCCTATCCTGGCTGCATTATAGATGGTCGACGGGACAGAGCTGGTGGTCTTTTCTATCATGCGGGCAAGAAGTACTCAACAAAGGCAATCACGGAGGGAACGGAGAGCCAAGGTTTATGTATTTTTTGGTTTGCCTACTAACAGGGTGACCATGAAATCACTGACCCCATCATTTTGTTCCTATTTTTTAATCACTTGAACCAATGGTTACTTTGGCCTGCATAAATTTTATGAGACACGTCAAATAGCATTAAGGTTTGTCAGCAAGGAGCCCGTGGTACTGATATATAAACTGATCACATGTGACCTTCAAAGCACCGTGATGGCCATGCTCGAATTAGATCACTATCATTTCAGTAGAATATTTATGGCCTACTTATGGCCTATGAAGGGAAAGCTGTTATTCCACAAGGCCTTTGCTGTGTGAAAGGGAGAGGACTTGAATGCTTTCAATATAGGAGTGGCTAAATAGATTAAGAAGCCATTTTGTGACATACCAAGCATGAACCTGTATGTCACGATGGGGATGATCCCAAAAGTAGAGTGTTAAGTAGAACATGAGCTGCAGACCGCATTACAGACCAGTCGAGCACGTGTGCAAAAACAGTGATCTGCTTGTATATGTAAACATCTCCGCAAACACAGAAGAGGGTCATGAAAGAATATTCCGGAGAGAGCCGCGGGTGAGAGTGGAGGGAACGTTCAGTTTTTGTTCCGTATGGAAGTGAGGAAGGAGCTGTGTGTTCTGTAGAAAAAGCAAGTTTTATAGGTTAGTGTCACAGGTGAGCATCACAGGCTCGTAGGTCTTCCGTACGATCTTTTTGGGGAACTCAAATCATAATGATGTTCAAGATAACGCCTAAGACTCTGTAAGTGTGAGTGTGTGTGTGCACACGCGCGCACGCTCACCTGAGCAGGTTTTTTCTCTGCCAAATTGCTTTTAGCCTGTGTTTTTAAATGACTGATAGTTACAATGATCACAGGGCATTTAAGAGGAGAACTTTCTGGTGGTTGCAAGGGGTTTCTCCTCCCGCTACAAGGAAACCATGTGAGAGTAATAAATACCTAATAGAACTCAGTCTCAGCTAGTTATAAGGTGACCCCAAGAATGCAAAACTGTCTACTGCAAAGGAGCAAATCAAATTACGATAATCTTCGACCTTTAGGTTTGAAACACAGTAAAAGTTCCCGTTTTTAAAATTACACTTGCAGTGCGTGTTGCCGCTGCACTGATTCGATGCTCTGTCCGGGCTCAGTTGAGGATTTTGTTCTCTTGGCTTTCAAATTAAATCTCCAAGAAATACTGAGTAGAAAATGGAGATCTGAGCGGCGGAGACTTTGTTTCGTCTTGAAATGTTAGCAAGAATATTTAAAAAAAATTTTTTTTACCTTTATTTATTTTTGAGAGACAGAGAGAGACAGAGTGTGAGTGAGGGAGAGGCAGAGAGACATGGAGACACAGAATCCGAATCAGGCTCCAGGCTCTGAGCTGTCAGCACAGAGCCTGACATGGGGCTTGAACCTATAAACTGTAAGATCTGACCTAAGCCGAAGTCGGACGCTTAACCTACTGAGCCACCCAGGCGCCCCTCAAGAATGTTTTTTAAAGAGTGTTTACAGCTATGGTGCAGCCAGAATGGAAAAATTAAGGAACACACATGGCATTTTTCAGGGCTTCGATCCAGAAAGAATTTTCCAGACAGACAAAAATTGTACTCTTCTCATCCTTAGCCCTACTGAAGTTAAAAAAAAAAAAAAAAAGGCAAGACAGGAGGTGTGAATGACTCAGCCCTGCCCAGGAGAAGTTCTGGGAAGCCTAAGGGTTGGGGGCTTCATGTAAAATATCCTGATAAGAAGTCTAGACTATCTGTAGTTTGCTGATTTTGAGGAAAACCAGATTATTAAGAGCCCTTGTGAAGCCAACTGCTATGGGAGCTGAAAATGCATGTAAAACTCGGGTGGCGTGTGGGCCAGGGGCTCCCACTCTCCTGAAGGCCACAGCACTGATTATCTATGACCCCGAGTGACATTCAGGAGTGACCCCTACTGCAGAGGCAAAAAAAAAAAAAAAAAAACTGCGACAGAAACAGAAGAACATAGTTAAGTGCCCCCCTTCCAAAAAAATTAATAGTAACACAGACAAAAGGAAGGCAGAAACTATAAAACCCAGACACCTAGAGGTTCTTACTTGGCGTGGACTGAGCTGCACATTACAGCACATGGTAGCAAACATGGCGAGTAGGCTGCCTTTGTGCAAATTAGAAAAATGCATCTCTTTTTCCTGGTTTTCCTACATTTCTTCCCCATTTACCCCTTCGGCTGGGCAGGCTTGTGCAGTGAACAACCTGCACAACTCAGGAAAATTACTCACTAATAGTTCAGTTACAGAGTGAGTGATGGGAACCTTTGCGTTTGACCTGAATGTCTGATAGGAAAGGGTAGACAACTTGGTAAAGAAATGGCCAGTCAAATCACTTGTTAAATTTCCTGAGCTGAGGATATTAAAGAGCCGCATCAGGAAAAGCTGATCTATGCCTTGGTTATTATTTCTGCCAAGCACTGAGAAATCAGACACAAAATAACTCCTAACAGAATGCGGTATTACCACCATACGTATTAACGTTGCTTTTCTATTTCTCTGGAGTGACCGCCTGCTTCCTCTTTTCTAAATAGACCTGGAACTCTATCAGTCCCGACGGCCGCAGAGCCACCCCCTGCGGCACAGTTGTCCAGGTGGTGCTCCCACGGAGCTCAACCAGAAAGCGCCCGTTCCACTTTTTCCTGGGCTCACCCCTCTCCTGCGCTAGTCCCTCTCACAAGCAAAATAAGTGTGCCTGCAAGTGAATCAACATCTTGAAAACCAGCTTCGCAACCCAGTGAGTTCAGGAGGTATTTTGAATTACCTTATTTGCTTACTCCCCGCTGAATCCCAAACCTTCCCCATTTAGTTACGTATCATCCAACTATCCCAGAAGTGACGAATCAAGGCTTGGGTAACGTGGACGTTCCATGAGTAAAATAGCAACACATCAGGCTCTTTCATCGTAGGGAAGAGAAAGATGCCTGGCTGGCCTGGAAATGTCCCAGGGGCCACCAAGAAAGGTGCACGCATCTGCGGCCCAGGCGCTGACCACCCCGGGAGGTACGGGATGCAAGCGGCAGCGACGCTCCACTTGGGCAAGACGCCAAGGCCCCCTGCACCGTTACTCGGCCTGAGGACCTCCATCTGCAAGGTGCCCCCCGCTTCCAGGAGGTCACGTGTGTCACGGCTTTCCACAGGTCCCACCCACCTTTAATTTTCCATCAACAAGAGCCTTTCTTAAAATTACCTCAAATATGTGAAGGCCTTCCCGCAAGGAAAGGGCGAACCTTGCTCACCTCGATGATGTAGAGGACCACGTTCTTGTAGAAGCAGTACAGGATGCACTTGGTGACGCGACTGTAGCTCCAGGCGCCGTGAACCAGCAGGAGCTTCTCCAAGTAGGAAAACTGAGAAAGAGAAAAGAGCCATGTTCAGGAGGGTCCACCATTCAGGAAATCTGGTCACGGAACAGCCTTGGGAGACGGGTACAGTAGTAAGGAAAGTGGAGCGTGCGGATGCGCAGGTCACCCGAGGAAAACCACTCACTCCCGAGAAAAACTAAAGGCAAAGCTTTCAGGTGCAGGGAAGACGACAATCTCCTCTTAAATCTACCTAATTATTTTCCCCCGGCCGTGAGGGTAGACTTCCAGTGGTTATTCTCATGACATTCTGTTACATAAGTGCTTTTTTTGGGGGTGGGGGGCTCAACTCTTAGGAGAAGGTGACCACTTGAATTGGAAGAAGAGAAAAGCAACCAGATGCTTCTATTCAATCAGATTTCATGGTGACTTCAGGAGCAAGGGACAGCAACACCGGTGCACCACTACCGTTTTGACAAAAGGGACGCGCATATACCCATGAGCTCCCTCCACGGTCAGCCTGCAGGTCGAAAGCAACTACACGTGCACGGAGGTGCTCAGGGGCTCCCGCACACACACACCCTTCACTTCTACACTCACTGTGTCCTCCCGTTTTGCTTCCAACTAGGACAACATACTTTCTGCTGGAGTGCTACGCAGTCAAGAAGAACAAAGAACCGAGAAGCAGCGGATCTGAAGTTGACGGTGATGTCAAGGCTCTTGCCATCTGAAATGTTGAGCGATACCCCAATATTAAAGAAAATATTTGAACCTTCTTTGGGGCAGGAGGTCTTCGGGCATCACTGGAATCTTAGCCCCTCACCCTCCTCTTAGCCTGGTTTTGCCTTCTGTGTCCTACCTCACAAAGGTCCCCAAAGTGAACACTGAGCTAGAGGGAAGGAAGTGAGGTTGACTCTTCACTGTTGTTTGGTTTGGGGACGTGTCGTGCTGGGGTATGAATGCAGCACTAGGAGCAATCCTGTTTGGATTCACAATTTCTACACATTGACTAGCCTTGTATCACACTGAGGTCTCCCTCAGCTGCCTCAGGCCAAACCCTGAGTTTCCCACTCCCAAGTCACAGCCCGGTCCTCAGCCTCGTTCTCCTAGGAGAGATCATCAGGCTATACTGAGACTATCCACAGACACTAGAAACTCAAGAAACGACAGACGTTGGCGAGGATGCAGAGAAAGGGGCCACTTTTGCACTGCTGGTGGGAATGCAAACTCATGCAGCCACTCTGGGAAACGGTATGGAGGTTCCTCAAAAAGTTTAAATGAGAACTACCCTACGACCCAGCAACTGCACTACTAGGTATTTATCCAGGGGATACAAAAATGCGGATTCCAAGGGGCACACGCACCCTAGTGTTTATAGCCGTGCTAGATCAACAATAGCCAAATTATGGAAAGAGCACAAATGTCCATCAACTGAGTGGGTAAGAAGACGTGGTACACACACACACACACACACACAATGGAGTATTACTCAATGATCAAAAAGAATGAATTCTTGCCATTTGCAACAACATGGACATAACTAGAGTGCATAATGCTAAATGAAATAAGTCAGAGAAAGACAAATACCGTATGATTTCACTTATATGTGGAATTTAAGAAACAAAACAGATGAATGTAGGGGAAGGGAAGAAAAAAATAAGATAAAAACAGAGCGGGAGACAAACCATAAATCTTAAATTCTGAATTCTAGATAACAAACTGAGGGTTGCTGGAGGGAAGTGGGTGGGGGGATGGGCTAAATGGGGGATGGGCATTAAGGAGGGCACTTGTTGGGATAAGCACTGGGTGTTGTATGTAAGTGGTGAATCACTAAATTCTACTCTGGAAACCAATCCTACGCTGTATGTTAACTTACTTAAACTTAAATTTTAAAAAGTAGAGAGGCACCTGGGTGGTTCAGTCAGATGAGCGTCTGACTCTTGACTTCAGCTCAAATCATGATCTCAGTCTGTGACACTGAGCCCCATAAGGAGCTCTGCACTGACGGCGTGGAGCCTGCTTGGGATTCGCTCTCTCTCTTTCACTCTGCCCCTCCCCTCTCTCTTTCTCAAAATAAATAAATATTTTTTAAAGTAGAGAGTGATTCATGCAAAAAAAAATTCTGTTGATACGGCAAACTGCCTATTAATTTCTGATCACTTTTGAAATTAAATTTAACTGGGGTGCCTGGGTGGCTCAGTCAGTTAAGCGTCCAACTTCGGCTCAGGTCGTGATCTCACGGTTTGTGGGTTCGAGCCCCGCTTCGGGCTCTGTGCTGACGGCTCAGAGCCTGGCCTGCTTCGGATTCTGTGTGTCCCTCTCTCTCTGCTCCTCCCCTGCATGCTCGTGCTCTCCCTCTTTCTCTCTCTCTCTCAGAAATAAATACAACATAAAAAATTTTTTGAAATTAAATGTAACTGTAGAAAAGAAAATCTCTGACTAGAAATGTAGTATTTAAAAAAAAAAACAAACATTTTCTTTCAAGAGGAAATCACATAATAGTCTCCACAAGCCCTAAAGACCTGATACGATGTCACGTTTCATGAGATCTCCCAGGAGATGGGGGTGAGGCGGTCACCCCACTACATACTCTGAGAGCTAAATGGCCACTTCGAAATGCCAGGAGTCGGTGCATATGGAAAAAGAAAACTCCCCATAAAAGCTCATTAAGGATTCCAAGGGGGATTGGGGAATCATAAAATAGCTGGCTAAACAAATAAAAAGGAAGTTTGCATTTGACCTGGACCCCCTGATGTTAAACTTCGGTGGGCACAGAGAACATCTGCTGGAGTCATCCGGAACGGCTCAACTGGAGCGCTGCGACCATCTGCTTTCAGGAAATATATATACATATATATCTCCTACATCAAAATGCTATTTTCATGAGGTCGTCCAAAAAACGTTAAGAAGGTAGGGGGCAGGAACAGCCCTGTCCTGAGGAGAGCGGCAGCGAGGGCGGAGGCGCCGGATTCCAGTCCCCAGCGCAGGCTGCCCACGGGCAAGACAGCAGCACACGGGCGGCCGGCTCTGTGGATAAAAGCGCAGGCAGGCAGAAAAGCAGTGCATCCAGAGCTTGGCCTCTTGAGTCATTTCCCCGCCAAGGACGGGCCTGGGAGCTCCCTGTTTTTCTTCTGTGCACAGCCTTCCGGGGCACTTCCTCAAAGATCCGAGCAAAAACGTGTTCATCCACCCACGTGAAATAAAAAGACCAAGCGCAAGAGGTTAACGTCCACCAGACATGTTTGTCGTTCCGCTGGGGGCAAGGGCGCGCCTCAAATCGGGGTGTCTCTAACGCCTCGCCAAAGTGGCAGAGGCCCAGGTCGGGCGGGAAGGGGCAAGGCGAGGAGCAAGGGTGCCGGAGGCCATGGGACCCCTCCCCTAATCACGGGCAGGAGGAACAACGAAGCCGGGGGCCACGCATCAGTTCCCTTGGCGGTGGCTATTACACCGGAAGGGCACGGAGACCCCTCGCTCTACCTCTCTCCCCCTCCCTACCCTGCTTTGATGCTTTCCACCTGAAGACAGCAATCACTGCTCCGGATTCCACAGCCTGTTAGTGCACAGTTTCAATAAAGCAGGTCATAGAATCTCCCTTCCCCAGACATTTTAAAGAAAAAGACAGACAAATATTTGCCTGGAACTCCTAGGAAACCTCTAAGGGTCCCTTCCAGCCACATGATGCTATAACTCAAGTATTTAATAATGCTGGGGTGTATAACAACCACAGTTGCTGACAGACTACAGGAAGCGGGAGTCTCACAGGCCTCGGAGTGGTTGACTCCGGAAAGTGAATGGGCAGGTGTGTGGGGCTGGTCCCCCAAGGTCACGGGCAGGTCTGGTGTTCTCTGACCCCGGGTGCTCAGCCCGAAGGCAGGTTACCTAATGTGAAGGAGCCCCCGTGTTCCCACCTGTAAAATCAGAATTCCTTCCCCAACCGACTTTAGCAATTACCTTGAGGATTTACTTGAAATCAACAGAGAAACAAGCTTGATCTCATGTACTTTCCAGAGCCAGGAGGATTTGGCAAATTCCTGCCTGTGTTTGCAGAACCACAAGCTGGGAGGGAACCTGAGAGGTGATCTAATGCAGAAGCCCACTCCGGGGAGGTGAGCCCCAACGCTGCGCCGGGCCAGCCTGCAGCCCTGGCATTGCTGGAAGCTCTCTCACATTTTATATGCAGCCCCTGATTTCAGCTTGAAGGGAGAAAAGGCCATTACTACTTGTGTTCACGTGATTAAGGCTAACACACAACTTGAAATGACAAAACACTGGCTAAACCACCAAACGAGCAGGCATTTTATGACAAGTGACTGTAACCTGCAGACAGGAGGAAATGACCAGTGTCTGTGGTGAGGGCTAGATTTTCTGGATGATCAAGCAGGGCAAATGATCTAGATGATGCCACACCTAAGGTGAGGAGGCTGGCTATTTTCCTTCCGTTTTTGGCCATCTTTGAGGAACAAACATTTCTTTCATCGTCAGGTCATCTGTCCGGTTAACTACAAAGTACATTAGGAACCTCTGCAGGCAACACATGATCCAGTGAGGAACGGCCTGGCCTGATGCCAGGAGGCTGTTTGCTATTGCCCTGGGGGGTTCATCTCCCAGAGGCAGCTCTGGGCAGCACCCTGGTTGTGGCTACAGAGAGGGTGGCTGGTGGCTGTAAACCACTGCTCTCCCCTGACCTTACATGCCTGATGAGACAGTGTTCTAGCACCTTTTGGAAGGAGAGAGATCTGGGATGGGGATGGTAGAGAAGTGAGGCTGTGAGCACGGCCGTTCCGGAGCACGGGATGGTGGAGGGGACAGGGCTCGCCGCAGATGGGCGTTGAGGGCGAGAGAGCATCACCGGCAGGATCAGAGGCCTATCTGTCAGGACGACGCCTGGTCAGGAGCACAGAAGGCTCCACCAACCTCCCCGCCGGCAACAGCAGCCGCAACAACCGCAACAGCCAGCAGCGCAGGGCCTTCAAACTGCATAAGATCAAGGCTGCAGAGAAATCCAAACTCTCTGGCCAGGGTGTCTAGACAGCCTCAGGAGGGTGGCAGAGCTCTCGGGGCTGGACTGACGGTCGAGCACCGGCCAGGCCTCGGTGCCCAGGGGACACCTGTGCTGGTGGACGGGACGGCGGTCGACACGCCCCTTGACCCGCGTGAGGCCTCGGCGCCTGCCCGCCCCCACCCCTGACCCCCGCAACCCACGCGAGGCTTCGGCACCCGCAGCCCCACCACCCGCGCGAGGCCTCAGCGCCCGCCCACCGCCCCCCCACCTGCGCGATGGCGTAGTCCGAGTTGTTGGTGGCCTGCATGCCCTCATTGCCGCTGATCCCCACGCCCACGTGCGCCGTCTGGATCATCCCCACGTCGTTGGCCCCGTCCCCGATGGCAAGGGTGATGGCCTTCACCCGCTTCTTGACCACGTCCACTATCTCGGACTTCTGCAGGGGGGACACTCTGTAAGAGAGGAAAGAGATGATGACTGGATGCGTCGTTCCAGAGCCAACAGCCTTAATCGACACTTAGCTGCATTAAAAGGGCAGTTATTGGCCCATTTCCAAATCCACTACATCCATTTTCTGCTCATGCGCAAAGAAGCTTTCAGAAAACAGTGGCCTGTGGCTTTCAAGTGGTTGCCAACTTCACAGCTGAAACACACAAGTCAAAACTAACTTAAAACACAGCCCGTTTGTAACCACTCTGTCCGGCGATAAACATTTGTGCAAACTCCCCAGGGGCACATGTGCCACCCCCCCCTCCCCAAGATAAAGGCAGGGAAGCGAGTTACAGAGGTCTTAGGAGATGGTACACAACCCAGGATGGCGAGGGAACTGTGTGTGAAATGTGCCTCCGCACAAAGGAAGGGAACTGGCCCAGCCTGAGGGGCGCACAAAGAGGAGGCGTGTAAGGGAGAAGAACGCCTTTCCCTCCCCCACGTCAGTGACGAGACACTGTCTCAAGGGCATCAAGGCAAAAGGATTAGAAGGGGGGTCATCGGGACAGAAGGTCTACCAACGGGGAAGTGGGCAGAAGCACAGCCCAGAGGAAGACCGGGCAGCCCCTGAAAGAAGAGGGGTTGTTTCCGCAAGGACTCAAAGGATGGGCGCCAGTTCTTGTAAGCCCTCAAGTCATCTGGGAAGAAGACCCAAGATAAACCTGTGGGCTCCAAAACACAGCAATGTAATTATAATGAAGTATTTGTTCAGAGCGTAAGACCAGATAATACAACGATGTGACAAAACTACTAGTACCTCGGGACTGATTTATCTTAAATTCCGAACTGGTAAAGCTGGTAGTCACTTAGCGAAATTTATGCGTGAACTCAATGACTGACTGACACTCTCTCTCTCTCTCTCTCTCTCTCTCTCTCTCTCGCGCGCGCGCACACACACACACACACACACACACACACACACACACACACACATTAAAAGGCCTGTCCGGGTCTCCTGGAGGTAGAGGCCTGCACCCACATAGGTTCTGTACATGTAAACTGGAAGACACTCAAGAACTTGCTCAGTAGGACTGTGACTTCTCATCTCACCCCGGACCTCCAAAAACATCGATTTCTGCGCAAAACTTAAAATTTACCTTCCATTTAACTTTACCAACCCAGAGACCTATCTGCGTCTGCTGAGACCGCACTGAACGTAAAGCCCAGGTACTCGGGAAGCCTTCGCTCAAAGGAATGAAATTTAGCAAATGAGAAAAACAGAATCTATGGGTTGAAAGGCTTTTAGAAGCCACGTGGTATAATCTATCTCCTTAATCGTTTTCAGGGTGGCTTTCAACAATGGGAGCATATTGCCTCCTAGGGCAACTGCAACCACTAAAAACCATCATTACTTCTTTTTTGTGGTTGATAACCTAAGCCTACTTCAAAGCACTAGTTCTGTCTTCTGCATTCGGCTAGAACAAAGATAACTCTTCTTTCAAATGTCAGGAAGGCTGGACTAGGAAGGCACCCATCCCATCTTCCCTCCCACAGTCCGGGGTCTGCCACTTCAACAGTCCCAGGTCCTCAACCCATTGTTGACAGACATGCATCAGGACTTCCAAATAGCTTCCAAGTATGATCTTGGACTTGCTCATAGACAGCTATGAGCAGAACAGAACAGAATCACCATCTCCCTGGTAGCAGATGCCAGACTTACTTTAATGCAGCCTGACGTGAAATTACTGGAAGCTTTACTCTGTTTGTCACTGACCCTCCGTCACCTAGACATAAGCAATTTTAATAGACAGAGACAGAAACCTTAGCTCTTCCTTCCACATTTCTGCAAGGGCTACTTGGAGCCAAGGGCTGACCTTGACATTCCTCTCTCATTCAACTCCTGATGGGCAGACAGAGCCCACATTTCTAATCTGCTACAAAATGGGATTCCATTTCATCTCTAAGCTCAAGAGAAACAGAGGTCCAATATGGTACAGAGACATCAAGGTAGGATTCAAAGTTAAATAACGTGACCTACTGTTCGCCATACTATTTAAACAGAAGAAATAATTCTGAGTCCTTGTCTTCCCATCGATGAAATGGGGAAAATGAGAGCCCACCTCATGAGATGACTGATATATTTACGTGAAGTCATTATGTTAACTTGCCAGTGTGAGACAAATGTTATCTCCTACCCCATCTGCGAAACTTCAATTGCTGGAAAAGATCGGACACATCTGAGAACTGCAAACCATCTAACTGGGCTGCAGCGGGAAATTATTGATTTTCAAGGGAAAACCAGGGAGTAGTACAAAATACCAGCTTGAAGGAGCTCACAGTTCCAATAGTAGATCATGCTACATTCCTTTTTATGACATATCTTTGTGAAGCCGAGTTTTCACGGCTGCTATGATAAAAAGCAGAAATCAATAGGAAATAGGAAATGAGGGGTGCAACAGTCATACTCACTTCAAGGTATGAGAAGTTGTGCAAGGCTCAACAGGTGCACCATGCCATAGCCTTGGTGAGTGATTGGGGTTGTTAAGGGTGAAACAAAGTATTATTTTTTTCCAGCTATGTCCATGATTGTTTCAAATGTCTACTGGGTGCCTGGGTGTCTCAGTCGGTTAAGCATCCGACTTCAGCTCAGGTCATGATCTCGAGGTCCGTGGGTTCAAGCCCTGCGTCGGGCTCTGTGCTCACAGCTCATTAGCACACAAAGGCTTCTTCAATTGTTTGACCTTATCTCCCTCACAATTAGAAATTTCTCAGTGTTCTCTCTCGCGCTAGGGGCTTTGCAAAGGAATTACTGAGCCGCTATGGTCCAGTGAATGCAGAGTCTGGGAGCCTCTGCACTGATCCCTTCTCCCCACGATTACAGCACTCACTCTTCAAATACAGTCATTCACTCACTGAAGTCGAACTTCACTGTGGCGTTTAATCAAGTGTTAGATCTTGAACTCTTCTGTATCCATTGGCAGATCACAGGAGCACATAGGACAGACACACGACCCCGTGGGGAGCCTGGGGCGACAACTCCTTGAGACTCTCCTGGCCCCCCAAGTCATCAAGTAAGCTGGTCTCTTTGGCAGCTGACCTGCAGTGATTCAGAGCAAAGGGAGGTGTGCAGGGCAAAAGGGGAGTTTGCAGAGCAGAAATTCAGCCACAAGAACACGGTGCGGTGGGAGGCTGGAAGGCTGTGGCTTAGGGAAGCCACTAAACAAGGCCACGCTTCTCTTTGATGTTAAAGGTGTTTTGTTTTGTGTTATTTTTCTAAATTAGGGGGTGTAGCAACAAGCCAACCAACAGGAGACAAGTAGCAAGTCACACACAGTCACTGCATTTGCCACTCTGGGCTTTGAATCTCAAACGAGTCAAGTCATGATTCTGATGGCTTTGAACAAACTCTAGGCAAGTCCAACAGCTGCTCTGTCCCAAAAAAGCAAGAATAAAGGGAAAATCGGACTGGGATATATAAACCGAATCATATCCCTGCATTTTAGAGGCATCAAATTCTCATCAAGGATTTAGTATGCCCTCGGCTGCGATGCCTTGAGAAAATACATTTCTAGCACACAAGAGGGGTTCAAAACAGATGTCAAACAGCTAATTTCCACTGAACGGAATAGGCACCATTACGTTTCAGCAATACGTGGTGTTTTCGTAGGCCAAGTTGCCACGAAGCACAAACCAGCTCTTTTTTAATCTTAATTTGTAACCTGGAATCACATGTCACACTTAAGTGTTCCCAGCATATAGTACATTCAACCCATATAATAAGAATTCCAGACCACATCTGAGCTAAGCTAGGCACTTGGGACACTTCCATAACTATTTTAGTGCCTTATGAACAAAAATATAAAATCAAAGATCTTTAATCAACTGGAGAGATATTCTACCTACTTTTTTGGCGAACACAATAGAGCCTAAAATTAAAAAAAAAAAATAAGTTTTCCTTTCGAGACTTAAAAAAATACAGTATCCTGGAGTATCTAATTTCACAGGATAGGTGTTCCTGAAATTTTAAAATGTACTTTCTGAAGCTATTTTGACTATAATGCTTACATAGACCTTTGGTAACTGCTTTTCTAGAATTAATGATCATGCATTAATTCATCTGAGCTACAAAAGCCCTGGTCTGAGCACGAGTTTCTGAATTCTGACTTGCGATATCATCTGAGCAAATTTCAGGAAATCCCTTCCTTCTCAGAGCCCAGAAGCCTCATTTGTAAAGCGGGGTGAAGGGGGAGAGGCCAGAAACTCCACCCGGGGGCACCCAGGAGAACTTCAACTAGAGCCGCAACACTTACTCATTAACCCGATTCACTAAACGCATTTACTAATCGGACTCTCAAATTTATTTATTCCGCGTAGAAAGTCCTATGACAGAAAAGGAAGTTTGAAGACCATCGGCCTAGGTCAGTGAGTCTCAAAGTGTTAAGTGAGCACCAGAATCACTTAGAGCACTTGTAAAAATACAGGTTGTGATGCAGACATGTGCACTCGACAAACTCCCGGGTGAAGGTGATGTTGTTTGCATATGAGCAGAACCGAAGTTGTCAACACTGACCTGGACAAGATCACAAGATCCCTCTTGTTCAAATGGTGTAATTAGCTGGGCTAACATTTCCGAAGCACAAGATACATGTGAAAGGTATCATTAACAATTAGCAGGAACGCTGAATCCCATCCCCCTTTTTTCAAGCTTTGTATGTTCTTCTTTCCTTTCTTTTTTTTTTTTTAAGTTTCTTTCTTTATTTTGAGAGAGAGAGAGAGAGAGAGAGAGAGAGACAGAGAGAGAATCCCAAGCAGACTCTACGCTGTCTGCACACAGCCCGATGTGGGGCTCAAAGTCACAGACTGTGAGATCATGACCTGAGCCAAAACCGAGTCGGATACTTAACTCTCTGAGCCCCCTGGGTGCCTTCTTCTTTGCTTTTAACCCTCAACCAGGAAATACCAACTAGGGTTGGAATTTCATTTAAAATAGTCTTCCAATCTGAGTGTTTCACATAAGAGGGTG